CAATCTATACTAATATTTGACACTGTGAAGATTTATTTGTCTGTTTTCTATATTTTATGATTTCAATGATGGGTAAGATCATAATTTAAAAAATGAATAGATAAGTTAGTGATTTGCAATGATTGGTAATTAATGATTTTAATAGTGGTTGAATAATGATTTTAATAATGGGCATTGGTGATTTTAAAAATAGGTAAGTAATTTGAACAGTGAGTGAGTTTATTATTTTAACAGTAGATCGGTTAGTTAATTTTAGTGATAAGTAAATTAGTAATTTAAATAAGTAAGTTAATTAGTGTTTATGATTTAAGTAATGATAAGTTAAAGATTTTAGCAATGGGTGAATTCAGATTTTGTAGTGTAAATTCATGAACTAGCAGAGATTTTAACAGTGGATAATCATTTAGCAATGCAGATTCATGGCTTTGACAGAGGCGGATCATGATTTTAATAGTGGGTGAAGAATATACAAAATGTGACAACTATGATCATGACAACAAATCAGGTATTAGATTTTGGTACCACAATAATTTCTTTCTTGAATAAGCTATATACTTTGTGATATTAATCAATCTGTTCCTTGTATTAAAGATTTTGCCATAGTAATAATGCAGACTATTTCTAATTATATATTATATATACTGTATATACTGTATATACTGTATATAAAAAAAATTGGACTATCATATAAACAGCATATCACTAACTATATGATAAAATTTCTGTTTCACTGATCACTTCTGCCAGCCATTTAAATGCTAGAAATGAATTATACATACTACACTACTGTTATAGTTTCTTTATATTTTGTGTTAGGCTGTGTAAGGCTAAAATATAAAAAATTTTCAGCAGCTTTACCTAATAAAATGAAGTGAAACAAAGTCTTCTAATTAATAATAAAATAAAATAGTTAATTTCAACTATTACTAACAATTGAATTTCTCTTAACTGTTAGCAAATAGCAATATTTACTAGAAAGTTATCAGGTATTATTGGGCTGTATGAGCTTTTTATTAGACCCAAATCTAGCCCAATATTTTAGTGGGCCTAGCTCAAGCCTGGCCCAATTTACAAATTTCTGGGTTTAGCCCAGCCCATTCTATCCTCTACATATTACCACATATTTTTTTTATTATTTAATTAATTTACTAATTTTTGATTTTGTCTTTAAAGACAGACAATTCAATAGTAAAGTTTATCTTCTTATAAAGGTGTATTTTATAATATAAATTTTCTGTTTTTATAAATGAATTAAATTGATAAGATGAATTTGCAATAGTGCTAAAAGCATATTTAGTAGTTATATCATATAAATCTGAAATAACGCTCAGGGGTGTAATTTCAATTTTTGGCCTAAATTAAGCTTAATTCTGGCTAAAATCTAAAATAAAGCCCCTGGGCATTATTTCAGATTTATACGGTATATAATAATATTAATAATATTTATAATATCTAGTCTAATATATAGATCATATATTCTCTAATAAATAATGATATAGAGTATTTAGTTAGAAAAAAAAATTTTGCAACAAATAATAATTACTTTGATATTTTCTTCTATATTTGTAATTGTCTTAATTTTTAATTATGATAATTATTATACAAACATATATTTGCTATATTAGTATAAAACTATCTAAACAACAAAAACACAGAAGACAATCAATTACCTTTGGAATCTAGTCCTTCTGATTTTTATATTTCATATAACAATAAATTTTCTATAAATAATGATAATAAGGATGCCCAACTTTTAAGGTTGTATGAAAAATTTACTAAAATTTTCAGAAAATGGAAAGTCAAAAAAGGTGAGAATATTTACAATCTTCAAATAGCTTTATAACAAGCAGTTCAATCAGAAAGAGAAAGAATAGCAAGAATTAAATCAGTTCTACAAGCTACTACTAATGATGAATAAAGAATCTAAATAAATCAAATAGCTCCAAAACAAAAATCTGAAGCCAAAATAAGTATTAGATTTTTTTTTTGTGTGTTATTTAGTTCTCCTAATATTAATTAAAAGCAGCAAATAAAATCTGATCTATATTTAATTTAAAACTACTTATTTAAAATTTAGTATGTAGCATTAATTTGCATTTGAATATAATTTAATTTTTTTGTTGATAGAAGGTTTGTATCTTTAAATAAAATTTTATTCTCTCATTCTTAAATAAATAAAAGTTCACATTTGACAAAAAATAATCATTCTAAAATAAATAAAATATTGAATAAATATTTTTACAAATTTCCAAATCTTGAAACCATAATCCTAACATGACAATTAATATTTAAAGATTAGTAATCATATTAACAATCATTATCAGACTTTAAATTTTAATTGTCATATTACGTAATGTCAGTATTATGATCTGTCAAAATTTTAGATGTCTGTATAGATATTATTGCACTTTTCAAATTACTGTGATCAGTAAATTTTATGCATCACTCACCACTTAGAATCCGAGATTCTAGGAATCAGGAATCCAAAACATAAATTATAAAAATAAAAAAATTATAAAATTATTAAATTTTTTTTCTTTTTTCACACTAACAAATTTTTCATAGCAGATGCCTTAAATACCAAACTCAAATACCATTGTGAAACTTGCTTTGGATGCCAGAAATGCTTGTATTGTGCAGTAGACTTGCGCCAGATTATGTGCAGTTGTAAAAAATCTTTAGTCTCAATAAAAAAAAATAGAATCAGTTATGTTAAGCAGATATATACATGTCAATATGAGCCTACCTGGGCTGCTCCAAAGTTTGAATACATTCATAGGAAAGTTTTTGAATATAATTACCAAATAAATTTAAAAAAGTTTTTTAAGTTTTCTCTTTGTAGCTGGTGTCACAACGTTTTACTTAAATTGAATTTCAACAAAATTAAAGAAAAATCAACGAAAAAAGCAATTGATAAAATGACAGATTTATAAATAGTACCAAATAAAACAATAGATAAGACAACAGATAAAGTGACAGATGTAGTAATATATAAAGCTACAGATTTAGTAATAGATATGAGGATAGATTCCATAAATAAAACTATAAGTGAAATCAATGTAATTTATTTTTTTATTACATAGAATATAAGTTCATTTATAATTTTTTTTATTTTTATTTCTAGAAAATATTTTCATCACCTCTATCTGTTGTATCTGATGAAGATGAAGCAATAATTAGTGATAATGATACTGAATTAGAAATAGGTTATAAACTAATTATTAAAACTGCAGAAGGGAGTTTATTACCAGCCAAATGGTTTAAGGAATCGTTGTCAACTGTAGATGAATTTCTTTCATTGATTTATAATAAAATTATTATGTTGACAAAAGATATTACTCTCATACCAACTGATTATATCATCACTTTTAAAATACAAAGGGAAACTGGTGCAGATACTCAATTAGCTGATATCTAAGATTTTTTAAAATTTAAAGCTGATTGTTTAAATTTGGCTATAAAAAACATCGATATGGGAATTTATATAACAATCACACAAACAATCAAGCAAAAAAAGAATGAAAAAATAATTAGTTTTTATGTACTATATGTATTATATTATATATTACTATAATTAATTACTGAATTGTCATTATATATGTATATATACGTACTGCACGTACGTACATACAAATGATTTAGAATACAAATTTAGATAACAATAGTTACAAAAATAGTAATAAAGTTTCAACTGTATCATCTTTGTTCGTACAAGAAAAGGCAATGGCTAAGAACATTCTAGAAATTCAAAAAGAATACCATTGTAACATACACAATTGACCTTGTTTTAACAAAAAAAGTAATAAAGATTTACATATAGAAATTAATTTTATGATTCTTTCAATATAGGCATCAGATATGGTAATTTTTATTTTGAATTAATTTTATAAATTATAATTTGTTTGGTACATACATAGTTATATGTAATAATATATATTTTTAGAATAAAGGTTTAAGTATACTTAAAGACCCTTCAACACATTTGCTTTTTTCTCATATCAAGTTATCTTCTAAGAAAATATATTCTTCTACATTACTATCACCTCAAATATCACAAACGCCTCTGCTATCACAAATACCATTGCTACAAACATCACAAACATCTATGCTACCACAAATATTGTCATCACAAACATTATTGCAAAGCAATTAGATTTCTACGCCTTCAGCATTTCAACCTTTTTTGATATTATTTAATTTGTATAATGCCCCACCTTTGATCTCATATAACTCATATTACATGCCATCTTTAATGCCATTTAACTCATATTGTATACCAACACAATTCGGTCTACTTCAATTTCAAACCAATCAATATAGTTCAAATGCTTTACCAACTATGGCTGATTTACTAAAAGAAATAGATGAAAAAAAAAAAACTAATAATTTTTATCAAAATTTGTTAAATGAATTTGAATTGCAACAAATTTCAGTAAGACACCTAAGCAAATTGTCAGACGAAGAATTTAAACAATGTGGAGTAAATACTATTGGTGTCTGACGAACCTTGTGTGATTATGCTGACAAGTACAATTGCAACCGAAACTAGTAATTATCTTGATAAAAATAATGGGTTTATGTTATATGATAATGTTTAATTTGCTGTTAACAAAGATGTAAAAAAAAACTAATTTTTATTAATTTAAAATAGATTCAAAAGGTGTGGCGACTTAGTAAAGTTGGCAAGTTGTCGCACCCCAAGCAGCAGAACTAAAGTTCAAATCTCACCAGCAACAAAAATTTAAACTTATAAAAAATACATTTGGAAGACTGTATCCTATTAGGTTGTAGAATCTGTAATGGTGGTCGTACCAGCTTATACTGGGAGGTAGTAGAACATATAGTGTGATGTACAAGTTATACAAAACCTGAGTGAAGCTACCAGATAAATCTAGCGAATTTATAGGATACAAGAGCCTGCTTGGCAAGACCCGAGTAAAGAGGTAGTACAGATCTTTGATAGTTACTATGTAAAGGATGATTAACTGGATACCGAAAAACCGGATAGAACCAAGGTGTTTTGCAAGGCACTATACCAACCAGGCTGTTGAATAACTGGAGGAAGAGTTCCACCTTTCGGGCTATCAGATTAGAAGTTTGGGTTTCTGGAGATATAGTAAAGAGTCCGTAAAGTAGGTACTGAAGTCTGGGTGAACTCTACAAAAACAGTAGTAGATAACTGTAGCGGCCTCAGCTTGCAAGTACTTGTTTTCAGACTTGGCGTAAGTTACTGAAAAGGCTTAATCTAAAAATGTATAGGACATAGAAAGATTAAAGAGGTATATACTACACCCTCCCTAGGGTAACCCAGTAAGTATAAGAACTCTACTGAGTTATCTACAAAATTAGAACACAAGTAGTGTAGCATATATCGATCTAGGTAGCAGCCTTTAATGAAGCAGCACAAGGTTATAGGTTGGCATAATTAAGATGATGATGCAGAACGGAGGACATCAGAGAGTTTAATTGGATAGCTCAAGTAATAGTAGGTTATAGGTATGGCATCTAATGTAGACCCTAATAATAGGTAGCTACTTAATTAAGCATCCAAAAAGTATAGGTATAGCTAGAATGTACTCTCATTAACCAAGAATGTACTGCTAATATATCTAATAAAAATTCACCTTTTCGTAACATTGCAAAAGTAAAAAAAATAAAAAAATAAAAATAAATTCAATAGTTATAGGCTATTTTCGTGCAATTGCCAAAAAGAATGAATATACTAAAAGATCATTAATTTTTACAGAAAAAATAATCTTGCATATTACATTATTTGGTAAGTTTGTTATTTTTTTAAGTCTTTATAATAGTTAAGATTTGAGTTTTATTACATTTTATTATTATATTGCTACCAGCAAATGTACACACAGAGACTTGCTGAAATTTCAAAAAGCTTAGCTAAATTGTAAAACAGATGCGTCAAAAATATAGCAAAGGCGATCTAACCTTTAAAGACATAATAAGTTGGTTTTTTTTTTTGTGAACTGTGTATACTAAAAAAATATCATTTTTATATTTATGCAGACCCTTATATGTATACAATGATATTGATGTATTTCATTCTTGGCTAATATCAAAAGCATATATAAACTATTTTGTAAAACATTAGTAGCATATAAATCCAATAATAGCTTTGTATAAAACATGTTTTAGATTTTTGTATATGAATGTGTATATCATAAGCTAAAACATCAAGCAACAAATCAAAATATTTCAGCAAAACAAATTCAAAAAATATATGAAATAATACAATACGATATAATTTTGGTTTTTCTATACTAAGTATACTAATTGCTTTCTTTATATTTGTTTAGATTAAATTCAAATGTTTACTAAATTTTTTAAGAGTTTTATACTTCAAACAGCCTTTTGTTTATATTTAGAATTTAAACACTAACGAGTTTACTACTTTTGAATTAGTGGCACTAAACCCAAATGATATCTGGAATATAAGATTATTTTTGATTATCCCTTAAACTGTATTCCAGGCAAATTTTCCTGGAAAATTTAATTGTATTTAGTATTTTTTAAATAAAATAATAATTTATTAATAATATGGGGTATATATTTATTA